TTTCCATTTTTTCTGTGCGTAACAAAAACTATACAAATTTAAAGCTTCAAAGTATGTATCATGGTATGTATCATCGAAAATTTTTTGTATGGAAAAAAGTACCATCGACAACAAAAATGAAACTTGCCCTTTATTAAGCTAGAATTTAATGGGCTATAAAACTGCATACTGCGAATTTTTAAAAATTTAAAAAATAATAAAATGTAATTTTTTTTTTAATTTTTTTTGTTTTTCTACAAAGTTTGAAATTTACTCTTATAAGGTTTTTGTTGTGGTTGTGGTAATGAGGTGTATTTTAGAAGCTTTTATTTAACTTAGTTTTTAATTTAAAAATAATAAACATTAAACAAACAAAAGAAAAATAGCCAAAACTGGTAAAAATGTCGTCTCCCTTTTAATTTTTTACATGACTGTGTATCTGCATATTATGTTGATAAAAGTAGAAACAAAAATGTGCGTATGGGTTTCTAAATTACTTTGCCTCTAAAAGCCATCGTTAACAGGTCACAATTCATCGATGTTCGAACTTAAGTTGCTGAAAGAGACACTGGTAAAATGAAACTGGCGAATTCGCAGCGCTGAGCATATGCCCTCAGGGCGTATCAACTCGCCGGTTGTTTGCTAGGTCCCAAGCGAATACCCTGAAACCATTAGCGTGCAAAATAGTTAAAAAAAAAAACTGAAACAGCACCCAAACAATGCGCTTAATCACGACTTCAACGCCTGCGGGTTGCGAATGGATGCAAAACAATCCATCAATTTTGAAGTAAGCAACCGCGAATGAGTGAGCACGCGATTGGGGCATTGAACCTGAGTAGAATCACAAACGCAAGCACTGCCAGCTAGTCTTTTTGTTTTCATTACATTCGTGCGTTTTTTTGCAGCATCGGCGAATATGCTAATGAATCAAGAAGTAATGGAAGGAGAGGATGGCGATGACGACGACCCAAAACAACAGAAGTGAAGTAATTGGCATACATAAGTACATTAAAAGAAGAAATAAAGTAGTTAAAGAGGCTACTAACTGACGTGTCATATGTTGGTTTTGAGGGAATGGGGAGCAATAAGAGTAGCACAATTGAACATAGCGGCGACGCATAAAGGAGTGCCCACTATGTATGTAGCACTGACAGCCACATGAACATAATATTTTGTTTTGCCAAATGTAGTCCATGGCTGCAACACCGATGAGCGTATTGCGCTCAATGTGGCTAAAAACCACTAAATTAAATCCGCCACAATAGCTTTACAAACCGCCGACCACAACAAAAGGGCTGCCTAACAACGTAAACTTGGCGCTCCCCAATTTTTTGCATTCCTTCTATACTACTTTGCATTTGGTTATAAAATACAGGGCCACAACTATGGTTGGCAAACTTGCGAAAGGTTGGCTTACTCTATCAACGCTGGCTGATGCGCTGCGCCTCTACTTGGAACTGCACAATTTGCTACAGCTGCCAGATGCTTCCGCATGTTCCATTTCCGTTGTTTCGTGCACGTATCGCAACTGCGGCCACTTTCCCTGCATTTGGCCTGCATCATACTGGCCGCTTCTTTGTGTTGCACATCTTCATTTATTTTAATATCGCTCTTCTGGTGTTTACATTTTTTATGTACAACATTCACCATATTTGCGCATTGCGCTGTTCTACTTAAAAATTATTTCCAAAAGAAAATCGTGGATTCAATTTGGCTGCAAATACAGCTCAAGTGCTTTTGATGCAATGGCACCAAATCAAAATATTTTCTTTCTTACCTTATAGTATTTGCATATTCCTTACTGCACTGCAAAAGTTTCCCAGCTGCTGTCAACTACAACGCCTCCAAAAACACTTTGCCCTTCATACAATCGTTGCTGTTGTACCGCAGCTGAAAACATGCAACCTTCAGTCCACTCACTCCTGCTGAAATATCACCTATCATCTGTGGTTACCCACTACCAACACCTGCAGGGGGGATTGTTTTGGTTTCAATTTCCAATTGGCCGACACAACGTTTCAGCACAACACCATAAGCACAAAACTCAACATTAAACACTTGAAAACAAAAAACAAATTAGCACCTTATTTTGTTGGCTAAATATACAATTTCTATGCACTTGAAATCCACTGCACACACGCGTCAGGTCGTTCATTTCCTTTTGCGCTGTCACATGCAATGCAGATTGCACTTGTTCACTTGGAAGCACATCCCATACGTGCTTTTCATGTTAATTATGTATATTTATATGCGTAATTTCTATTCTTTGAATTATACTAGCGATTTGTGCCACACGCTGCGATTTGGTGGAAATTCTGTTTACGACTGGAGGAGCGATAACGCCACGGAAAATTCAACAACCAACAAACAAGAAAATTGACAGAAGACTGTCCGCTTCGGAACATTTGTTTTTCCACTTCCAATTGGTGGATTTCGCATATTCCAATCAGTAAATCGACGGCGTTGCCAGTGTGAAATGCATTATTTTCTAACAAGAAAATGTAAAACGAAAATCAGGGTTGCAAATTCGCAGGGTGCTTTTGATGAAATTTGTTTTTGTTATTTCGAAAAAATGCTTGATGATGCATTTCCGAATGTTCCTTTTTGCAGTTATTCGAAAAAAATTTCTGATGCATATACAAACGTTTCTTTGAAATTTGCTTTTAATCAGGTTTTAAATTTTTTAATTACGCATGCATACGCACGCTTTTTCACGGAAATGTAAAAAAATGTATTTCCTCAGGCAAATATTGCTGTCATCCAAACTTTTTTTTTTGAAAGTTAAACAGCAAGTTTACGATTTTATTTTGGTTAAAAGTACCCATATGTGAAAGTTACGTGATTGACGGTATATCTACCCATCTACGGGATTTTACCCATCTCTAATCGAGACTTCTTAAAAATAATGAATTTTCGTGGCAAAATATTCGCCATCCTGAGTTGAGACCCAATTGGTATAACTTATTGCACCCTTTCCGCAACATACTTTCCCCTCGTACTCAGGGCTCGAATCGTCACATACGATATCGTACTAATCATCACGTAAAAACACATTTTTCGGATTATGGCATACGCGAACGTACTCTGTGTCTCATTCAGGGCTCGAATCGTAACATCCGTTCACGGATCGAGAACGATACGAAAGAAAATTACGTGATACGTCAGGCAGCTCAGGACTCGAATCGTCACATACGATATCGTATTACTCGTCACGTAAAAACATATTTTTCGGACTATGACATACGTGAACGTAGCTAAGCAGTTTTATCTGCATAGTCACAGAAATGGCAAGAATCCTTAAACCAGATCGCAAGTTTAATTCGCCTTAATTTGCAATAACCTACCTAACCTTTTAACGAATTCGTCACCTTAATCTAAACTTAGTGAACTTGGCGGTTGGATAAGGATTTTACAGCGAGCAATATATCAAAATGTGGAAAAGATCATACTTACTCATTTGAATTATTCCATCATTCGCTTAAATTCCATTTATTACTGTTTTAAAATTCGGCGAAATAAAAATCACTTGTTTTATACGTTAAAACGCTTAATCGGTTTACTTAAATAATTCTCTTATTGTTGCTTCAATATTCAGGAATAGGTTATATTACTGTAAAAAAAAATATCGTTTAATATCGAAAAATCATAAATAAACAGAAAATACATCCAAATAAATTTAAAACGCAAGCGAAAATTGGGATTCAAACTTTGTTACAATAATTATATAGTACTATTCACCTCTTTAGCGTTTTCTCTTCTTGATTTTCTTTTCTTTTACTAATTTTACTTGTAAAGTTATTTAGCAACAGTTCTGATTGGTAAAAAACAAATACAAATACAATACATTTCACATACAGTAACGTACAAGCACATAAAGATTGTTACAATTATGCATTCGTTTTCTTCTGTTTTCGAATTTAATGCAATTCGATTTTGTTCACCAAAAATTGTTTGTTGTTTACTGCATTTTCATATTATTATAATTTTGGATGCATACCAAAATCAAAATCAAAATACAAAGAATGAGTCTCTTTTATTTCTAAACTGCACTAAAAGAAAAAGTCTAACTTCTGCAACCTTTTTGAAAACTTTCATCTAATCGTGGTTGCACACGTTTGGCATGAAAATCTACCGAGGTTTAGAAGTAAAAAAGACTGATGCTGCCTTGTATTTGGACGTTTTGGAATGCATCCTTATGATTCGCTTCTGCTTGCACTGCCATTTATAAATATGCATTTTAGTGTATGAATGCTGCTATGCTATGTATGTATGTATGTATGTGGTATGTACAATTTTAACTGCTACGCTTAATAATGATTTGGTATATGCTTGACAAGATATTCACGTTTGTTTCGTACATCCTCTCATTTTCTAACTTCCTTCTTGTATTAATTTTTCTTACTCTATTTGTTTTTGTTTTTGATTCTTTTCTACCATGCATTAAGTGTTTATATGTATGTATATGCAACTACAGTGAAATGCGCAGTAATATCTTGTTCGAATGATAACTTCGCTACTGCTTCTCTGTTAATCATTTATGTAGGTTGCCTATTTTTGTGATTTCTATTTGTGTGTTGCATTTAGTTTTATTTATTGTTTTTATGTTCAGTTTAATTGAATATACTTTTCTGCTGTTTGTTTAAATTGTGGACATTTTATGACCTTTCTTTCGAGCGTAAACTTAAATTACATAGCTAAGTATGTATGTATGTATATATGTAAATATAGTTTATATGTACCAGTTAAACTTTATTTAACCCTCATCAATAGAATTATACGCGTATTTTCTTACTTTTTCATTGTTGATTTTAGTTTTTATTACTTATTTATTTATTTAATTATTATTATTTAATTCTTTATTTACGAAATGATATTGACATTTGAGTAAAGTGTACTTTTAACTAACGTCTCGGCTCATCGTCCTAACTCACTACTCTTTCAGCGCCGTCACCACCTCACCACCCCTTCTATTTGACGTGCAGACATCCAGCATCTTCACTTGACTCACACGCGTACATACATACATACCATCTTTTTAAACTTTATATGTACATATATGTATGCGCATTTAAATTTCTGTATTTCTTATGAGTGTTTGTATGTAATTTCTCATTGCGGCGGGGAGTTATTGGCTTAACAAAAACGTTTCTTATATCTCAATTCACAACATTTCCTATTCTAAAAATTATTTTCTTTTTGTTTGAGTGTACAGTTTGTGGTTTGTTTTTGTTTGCGTGTATGTATGCAAGTATTTTGTGTACAATTTAAGCCAAATCGAAAACAATTAACGTGAAATGAGCAAGAATCACATACAAAAAACTTAATATAGACAATCACAATGAAATAATTAACGCACACTGGGCTGCAGTGCGCAGCACCTTTTTTTTTTTGTAATCTTTGTAGTCTGTTGTTTATAAGCGCCTCCATCCTTACTGTCAATCATACTTAATCGTTGCTATTGTTGTTGCTGTTGTTGGTGTTCGTTTTGTTAAGTTTTGTGGAACAAAACATGATTCTACAGTTATCCTGTTGCGTACTAGGCTGCATAAAAGCATAAACAGACGGCAGCATTGATCCGGATCAACTCGGGAATTAACTGCCGTCTGTTTAAGCTTTTAGAGTTGAGTTGAGTTGATTTGAATTAAGTTGAGTTGTTGCTGCGTTGGTATCATCTCTACTGTTAATTATTTATGTATGTTTGCGCATGCCCTTAACATATCTCGACTTCACATAATATATTTGTATGTAAAATACAATTTAAATCACAACAAAACTATTGCATATATATATATATTCATAAACGATAAGACACACAGAAATTACAAACATACAATTAATGCTTTATGCTTTTTATGTTTGCATTTATTACAATGGTTTATTTTTTGTTTTATATTTCTTTTGTTAAATTTTTCGTTTTTCTGCCTTAAGTTCTCATTGTTTTTTTTTTGGGTTTTTTTCATTTAAAGTTTATATATTATGTATTATTATGTTCACCTAATTTTACGTCACAGTATAAAAAAGAATTTACAACTAATTTCTATTTTAATATTTTCTGAATATAGATTATATCACTAGGTTCATTATTACTCAATACATTGATTAGTTATGATTCCGTTTCATTACCCTCTCTAAAACTGTATAATTAATTTTAATAAAATATGCATACATATGTAAATATATATAAAGAAAATATAACAAAACAAAAAACAAGAGAGAAAAAAAAGCAAATAGAAAAATTATTATAAATTTGAGTAATTGTTTTTGTATTAAAAGTTATTGACTAATTTACTTAGTTAGGTTTAACTAGTCGCCGGGATGCTCGGGGCAAGATCGATTCACCTCGAACCATCGATCGATGCAGCTAAAACAGAGAGAGTAGCGGTTATTAGTTTAAATTTGAAAGAAGACAATAAGAGAATGCTTACCCTTTATGATAAATACACAAGCACGGCAATCGCGCTATAATATCACCGGGATTCAAATCTTCTAAGCAAATTACGCATTCGCCCTTGGCATCGGATAAAACATCCTCTGAAAGATTTGAAAGAAACAAAGCGGGATTAGTAAATGCAATTTTTTTTTTAAATAAAGATTTGGAATAAAGAGAGCTGGGCGAGTAAATGTATTTTTTTTTTAAGTTTACACAATAAACACAAACTTGCATAAGCACATTATTTATCTTCAAGAACCGGGATTATATCTCTATTATAGGCATTGGAGAAGCTTCATTTTTATCTCATTTCGAAGAATGATCAATTTTAAAAATTGTGGCGATAGCAAAGAAAATCGCTTGGCTACTTTGATTTTTATGCGTCTGTTTATCAAGCCAAATAAAAAATATGCATATTTTTTTTTTAACAGGCACAGCGAAAAGGATTACATTGAACCTACAAAAGCATATTATAGATGTCATCATCAGAATCATCAAATGAATTTTCTGACTAATAAACTTAGGTCTGGTAAAGAGGGTGAAAAATGTAAGACCTTGCTTCGTTATCCTCTTTCTATAGCTTTTGTGGTATGAATCGGTGCGTTATTTTTCTGGCATATTGAAGGTGACTTTTTTGCTTGTGCTTTATCCAATGTAGGTTGGTATTGAAAATGGCGACGGTAACCCCGTCCATCTCCGGTATTTTCGAAAAAAAGCTATTTCCCCTTATACTGGATCCAAATTTTTGAAAGTTGTAATGTGAAGTAGCATTTTGGTATAAAATAAGATACCTACCAATGAAAGTATTCTCAGATTTTTTTATGGAAGAAAATACATATGTAGATATGTTTGTTAATTATCAAAACTTAATCCGAATTTTAAGATTTCAGAAAATTAACACCCCTACTGCGAGTGTCGACTAGTAGTAGATAAACGACTATTATTCGATTATGGCTTTTCCATGGTATTGTGCATGTCGATTTCTCGTTCAATAAGCGACTGTTAATAGCTATTAGTCGCTCATCCTTCTTCAACTGTCTATAACTTATTCACACTGACTTATTGAACCTTTAGTTTCATAAATTGACCCCTAAAGAAAGTTTCATAAATTGACCCCGAAAGAACAAACGGAAGATGCTGACCGATTCGAGAGAGATTTCACCGACCTAAACGGGCTTAGATCGCCGAGACAACAGCCCTTTGTCGGGTAAAACCCGAGTTATTTCGGTACGTAGAACTGGCTCCCTTAGCTACCAGAGGGAGTCTCAATTGTCTGTTATGCTCTCTGAGTTTTCTCGCTTCTTCACTGCAAGGAGCCCTAAAAAATCCTCAGCAACCCATTTTACAATCTGGACGAAGGAGGTTGGACTGCAGCTGGGTATACACGTCGATGACGAACCAATCCCGACGGTGAATAAACGGAAAAACCTTTGGAGTAATCTTCCGACAGTCTGCTCCCCTTCTTCTCGGCGCATACAAATGCAATTGTCAATAAAGTATAAAGCCGCAATAATGTCTTCAAGTCGCTAGCCGGCATCATCTGGGGCAAAGACAAAAAAAACTTGTTGCGAACGTACAAGGGAATTCGCCGAACTATGCAGCACCTGCGTGGTCGCCGCGAACTAGCAGGATGCAGTGGACGAAGCTACAGACTTGCAAAAGCACGGCACTTCGGACAGCGACCGAATGCCTTCTGATGTCGCCGCAACATCACTTGCACAACAAGGCTCATATGCTCCCAGTTAATGAGCATAACACAATGCTCTGCAAGCAACTCTTGGCAGGGTGTCACCGACGTGAGCACCCGAACAGATATTTGCTTGCGGAAGAACCCTCGCTACGGCATGTCAGAAGGCATCTATATGAACTAACGGACGAAGTCCAGAGGTTAATAAAGCAATCTCTGGACCCGACAGCATACAGACAGGCCCTGAACGGGAATCACAGGGAGACAGTCTCGAGTTATATAGACTCTCGACCTATGAATGCCATTGGGGGCACACAAGCACCAGCCCTGGACGAGACAGAGAGCTTCGCCTGCCCAACTTCGCTCTGGTTACTGCATCAGGTAAAACTTGTACCTGAGAAGAGTAAGCACAGATGTGCCAAACGAGTGCTCTGCATGCGGAGAGACACCCCATCACTCGAGACATCTCTTGGCATGCCCACTGAACCCCACTCAACAAACGCTCTTGTCCTTATGGACAAACCCTATTGAAGCAGCACGCTTGAGGGACTAACCGATCTGGGCGGGGTTGTTGTAGCCGCTAAAACAACTACAACAACAACCGATTCTAGAGGGGTTTTGCAGGTGCGCTTCTAGTAAATGTGGGTCATTATTCCTGGATAGCCGTTTGTGATTAAAGAAAAATGTGTTTAAATGACCACCCTATTACATACACAAGGAGGCACCTTTTACTGCGCCTATTAAGAAAAAACGCAAAACGCAACAAGGTAGCCCCTGTTTGTTGTTGTAACAAGGAGCTTTTGGGGAATCAGCTAAAGTGAGAGTCCTTTGCCGGATATAGATTTGGCTCGTTCCAGTTACGTAGACCCGACTGTCGTGGGAACGAAAGGTAATCATGAGATTCCTACAGGTGCTCATAAGTAAGCTTTAAGCGCGGGTTTTAAAAAAATGACAATGTGCCTTTTCAAGTAGAAGTTAGATTTTAGTTCTAAAAACCTGTCTTTAAGTTCCTACAACTAACGGTTATTATTATATTATTGCTAGGAGTTAAGTATACTTTTTATAATTTTTTACTGCTTTTTAAAAACAATGATTGAAAGGAAAACATGACGGGTAATACATATTTTAACAAAGCCGTGACAGAAACTTGAAATTAATTATAGAGCAACTCTATTGAATAATAATGAGCAAGAGTGTGAGAAGATAAACAATGAGTGAGATCTTGTTTACAATTGCTGTAAATTTTTATTATGTAACAACTACTTTACACAGTAGTTAAAAAAAAGGAAAAAAATAATTTTTTCATTAATTTCATTCATTTGCATAAATTAAATTAAAAAACTACTTAGATAGCTAATGAAGTTTTCTGCACAATGACTGAGTATGCAGTTTTAATATACGTGTTTATAAATTAAAAAAAAAAAGAAAAACATAACACGTTTAATACACTCGATTTTACATGCATTAATTAAATGATACGATCTCATTGTTGCTTTTTCTGTTATATGCAATCAATTATAAACACACTCACCATTGTATGACAGTCGCGGCTTTGTGAGGCACATAACTAAATGGCATTCAATATCGTCGGGCAACACAAATTTGTTACATACTGGACACTTAATACCTGAAAGTACAAATAAAAAACGAGAATTTTTTAGAAAAAGTCACAAAAATAAGTTATCATGCAAGAATGGATTTATGTATGAACTTAATTAATAAGTATTAGTAAAATATTGGCAATGAAGTAAATGCTAAATGCGCAATTATCTGTTTGTACATACAGTCAGTCAATAAAGTTAAGGTACAGCGTTTTTTTTTTGCAATGCGAGCAACAATTTCTTAAATATTTTATTTTACGCTAATGTTTTACAAATCCACCAAAAATCAGCGTTCCAAAACTTGTGTAAAATTAAGGAAATTTTCATTCAAATATTGCACTTTTTATTTACACTCTTTAGATAACAGTTGGGTATGCAGTTTTTTAGTCCATTCAATTTTAGTATAACAAAGTGCAAGTCTGAGGAAGCTAGGACTTACCATTGATTTTTGGAAAATTTTTCTATTGAAGGTGTCGCTCATTTTCTCCATACAAAATAATGTTCGATAATTTATATCTAAAGCGTGTAAATAAAAAGTGCAGTACTCATTTGAATGAAAATTTGCAGAATATTCTCTAATTTTGCATAAGGTTTGGAAATCTGGAAATTGGAAATAATCCCTATTTTTGTAAAAAATTTCCGAAAAATAAAATATTTAAAAACTAGTTGCCCGTATTGCATAAAATTCGCTGTACCTAAACTTTATTGATTGACTGTATGTACATATGTATGCTCAGTTCGCATGAGCTACATGCATCCATAGATTATTAAGGTATAATGACTAAGCACTGCGTTGAACAGGAAAAGTGAATGCGCCAACTCACGAGCCATTGGAAACAGTCCGCATGCGATTTTTTTTTTTTTATAACCAAATGTTCTCATGAACTTTGTATGCAGTTATTTAGTGGAGTTGAGCGTGCACACATTGAAACACTCATTCGGACAGACAGACACAGCACTCGTGGTATAAAGTTAACTCTACAATTGCTATCTGATCTTTTTTAAAGGTCACATGCCGCTCTGGCTACAAAGAAGCTTATACATATTAACTAAGACTCTTAATAAATTGCTCTACTTACAGTTATTAGATTTAATTTTTTCTAATAATGCATGTACGCACATTGAAATCTGCCGTTAAACAAGTTTGTATCATGGAGAATTTTCTAGCATTTTTTTTTGTTTTTTTTTTTGTTGTACATACATATGTATGTATTTACTTATTTTGACTTAATTTGAGAACAAAACTACTTAGTAATTTATGTACATACATACATATATACCCCGGGTCTTAGTACCGGTTATCAATTTGAAGAAAAGCTGATTGTAATTTCAAAAATGAAATTGATTTTTTTTGTACCGGTTACCAATTCTTATTAATAAATAGTAAAACTTTACTCCTACAAAGATTACTTTACGGTGATCTCCGAAATGAAATCGGCTTTTGGCACCGGCTACCAATTTCGAAAACCGCCAGTTTTTAGTACCAGTTACTAATTTTAAGAAAAGCGGAGGGGTTATACCGTTTTTTTGTATTATAGTTATTTCAAAAATGAAATTATTTTTTTTGTACCGGTTACCAATTCTTACTAATAAATAGAGAAATCTAAGCAAAAGATAATTATTTTAATTAAATAAAAATGGGCTGGACCACTCCCATTTTTACGAAATTGGTAACCGGTACAAAAAAGCGATCTCATTTCTGAAATAACCAGAATAAAACAATACGCGTGACCACTTCACTTTTCTCAAAATTGGTAACCGATAGTAAAAATCTGGGATTTTTGAAATTCGTAACCGGTAAAAGAAAACCAATATCATTTTTGAAATCACCGTGAATTACGTTTGCCCATTTGTGCATCAGTGCTAGTAGCAGCATGTATTGTAAGGCCCCATCAATAGAACGCAGTGAAGACTTAAGGGTGGATCCTAGTGCCCGATGTCTTAATTTCAACAGAATGTAGAAAGGCTATTTAGTGCTTTGGCTAAAGTAGGCTTGGGCGAAAGAAGCGGGACGAAGCTGAATGGGGGCCGGAAGGAGGTGGTCGGCGGAACCATAACTTAATCGGAAGCTAGATCGCGAAATAAATCACTAAACGGCTGGCTATAGTATGTTATGACTGAGAGTTTGTGAAAACGGATAACTTTACGTATTCTGTGATGTCGAAATATTCAGCCTCATTGCGTCAGTCTTAAATATGACTTAATAGCACCACTCGACAACATTGGTAATGTGGACAAGAGAAGGGTCCGAGGAAATATTACTTCTATGCTTGATCGTTCTATACTGCCTTAAACCCATTTTATTTAAGCCATCCGGCATATGCTGAAGGAGTGTATATTAAGGTCTATAGGGCAAGTCTACCGAACTCTACCTAATTTTATGTGATTATACTGATTCTATAAGACACGAAACCGTACCATAAGTTCGGACGTACCACTGTCATGAACATCCAAAGTACAATTTTTAGTTTAAGGCCGAAATCTTCCCGAACAGCTGCTCTCAGCTATGTATATTCATTTTCCAACCAGCTTAAGATCTATTATGACTTCGAGATAATTCGCTTTTTTAAGTAATCGTAGAATTTTGCAATTCATCTTTAGGAATTAAAAATTAGGGACTTTAACCCTGGCCGCAAAGAGCATTCGATATTTTTTCAAGCCGCCATTGCTTAGTCTATTGACCCAGGTCTTCCGAAAGCTCTTTCCATGAAGTTGCTCAGCGCAGATGGAAATAATGCGATGACCAAAATGACCACTGGGGAGATTCTATAGCTCGTTAACGACAAGTTTCTGATCGCTGGCTGCTTAAAGTCAAACTGCGGTTTACAGTTTAATATCCGGATCCATAAAATAAATTTACATTCGAAATTGGAGAGTATGCATGTGCCTATATCTGCAACCGAATTCCAAGTAGATGCGCGTGCTCGACGACTCGCTCAATCGTAGTTAAATGCAAAGCTCTCTGCTCAGTTAAAACCTAAACACTTCTGCTTCGAAAGGGATTTACATTATGGAATAGCAATTCAAATATTTCGAGAACCTATGATTAATAATGTACACACTTGTATACATATAGACATACTTGAATTATGTACTTTTATGTAATTACTCAAAATAAATGCATGCGTCGTATTTTAGACCGACATTTCTTCTGAATGACTTGTTGTTTTTTTATATGTATGTATGTATATAGAAAGTTCTTATCACATTGTGTTTTGTTTTGCTTGATGCTTATCTTTTTACAATCGAGTTGAGTAAACAGGCATCGCCTGCCAAGAAAAGAAAATAACACTTAAACCAACAGAAAAATATGTTCACACCACCTAAATATTCATTAATTGCGATCTATTCTAGAACAAAAATTAACACTTAGGGCCAATTTCACAGTGCGTAGTTAACTTCGAATCGACAGTTAACTAGAGATTTTCAGTACAAATATCTGTAGTTAACTCCCGATTCCGAGTTAACTACGCATTGTGAAATTGGCCCTTAGTAATTTCTCATTTAAAATCTACGCAAATATCTACTGTATAAATATTTTTGACTTTTTTCGATAAATCGATTTATTATTGCGGTCATTGCCTCTAATTATTAGTTAGCCGATTAGAGTGTGTTCCCCCGCATACCAACTTGAGTGAATATTGTGGTATTGACCGTTATGAACTACATATGTATAGGTTGGTAAATACGTATCTACATACATACATATACCAACAGGTGCACAAATATACGCAATAAGTCATTAAGTACACAAACCTATGTTCGTTAAACGGATTTTAAATTTTTCTCTCATTCCTTTTAGCACCGTACCAGGCAAATGGTCGCCGTCAGACCTTGGCTCAAGCCGTAACATTTTTGTCCATATTTTACTTAATTTTTCAGTAATAGTAATATGTCTATATATTTTTGAGAAATCTTTTGAGTGCACTTCTTTTTCTCAACTAAAATTTTGTAATTTCTAAAGTTTATACTACTGGTTTATCTTATTTTGGCATTGCGATTTTGTTTCAAAAGTCTGGTTCTTATTTTATTGCCAAATGAGAAGGATTAAAAAGTATGGCACCTTTTTTGACACTCATAGCTGCTAGGGATAGTTGGCAGTCCTGGTCACCGTACACCCCTGAGTCTCAAGTGTTTTTGCAAGCTATTTTCGAAAACAATTGTTTTTTTTTTTGCCGAACGTAGGCGACGCCTTTTTACATTTTGTGCCATAAATATTTTCGGCATTTACAGCTGAATCTTAACCCTCTCAGTACAAAAAATCAGGCGCTGAAGCTAAAGATCTGAAAATTTGTTTACCGGCTAATTTTGGGTCATTGTTTTCACAAATACAATCAAAACTTTTATGACTCTTAGTTTTACCGTTACTCAGCGTCCATTCTATTTGGACAGCGGTACTCTAGATTTGTAAACAGGGAGTGATATCAATAATTTTTCTTTTTTTCCTTTTGCGAAATATATTTAAAAACTGAGAATAACATTTCACTTTTTTTTCGGATCTCAATTCCACCGAAAAATAGTTAATTTGTTCGTACATCTTACACTACAAAATATCGATTTTTGTGACATTTTAAACTTTAGTGAAAAAACGCGGTCAACTGCATCCCGAAAATGTAAAAGAAATGCGGTAAATAAGAATAATAAACAAATAACAAAAGCTCTTATTTAAGAAAAAAAGAGCTTTAAGTACAAAAAAAGTTTGTCCAATATATTGGACAATTGTACTGTAAGGGTTAAAGTATGATATACCGATGACCTCAAGTACCTCATTCTAATACTTACACATCAGATCTCAGTTCTTATCGCCCTAACCTACTACCGGAATATCAGTAAATTAAAACTCTCCAAATTCGATTACTCCAGTAGAAGTATTTAAAAAAAGCAAGTATATGTTAAGTTGTGGTAAGTTCAGATGTGCTGAGTTTAGGTGAGTTTGGGTGTGAGTTCAGGTGTGGGGCATACCCAACGGAAAGTATTTTTAGTTCAGTTGTGGTGAATTTGGGTGTTTTTAATTCAGATGTGGTGAGTTTAGGTGAGGTGAGTTAAGGCGTGGTAAGTTTAGATGTGGTGAGTATATGAGTGGTGAGTGCCCTTTCTATCCTTTTCTCTAAAACTACGTTATTTTAATCTTTTTCCTTTACCGTTATCCTCATACTCATATTTTTCAAACATTTATCTTTATTTTTTATTCTTTTCTTCATCAACATATTCACCTTCACCTTTGACCTTACATAAAGAAAGTGTTTAAATTTACCTTTATCTTCATCTTTGCGCATCTTTGTTTTTATATGTTTATCATTGCCTTTATCTTTTTCTTCATCTACATATATACTCACCTTTGCTCTCATTCTTGTATGTATTAGTCTTAGCACGTTTTTTTTTTTAATTAATACTACTTCCATTGCATTTGCCAACGGTCTAATGTATGTACTTGGACATGTGCTTATGTATTTATATTTCTCGATTTTTCATAGTTTTGCGATTCTGTTTTCTATCTTTTTTATGGCTGCTTGCTTGCGCCAAAAACTTACCAATATATTTGCTTGTGGTCGCCGGATATTCGCCGTGAACATTGTTCGGATTGCCGAAAACTTGGCCCATGTTTGCTTTAGTTGTTGCTAATTATTATGTCGCTTGCTTTATTGATAATTTTTTAGTTTATTAATTTGTATCTCTTAGCTTTTAAAAATTGTTTAGTTCTTATTTTCGCTTCGCTTCTGTGCGTGCGGTTGCTTGCCACTGGTTTTTTGCCAAATTTTTTTTGTGGTAACTGTCTTTGTTCTTTGCCTGGCGGTTCACCAAAGTTAAGTAGTACTGCATACGTGAGAAAAACAAATTTTAGACCGCTGAAAAAGTGCACAAACATACACTCAATCATGTATGTATGTACATATGTATGTATGCGAGTACTCAAAAAAAAAAAAGAAAATAATTCGTTCATGGCCGTGACTGTTTTTCGCTCACTTCTCGCGATCATTCTAAATATTGTAAACACGCAATTCTTCGACTTCTGACTATGTACTCCACCGCCTGCACTATTACTCCGCAGCTGTTTCGCGCACAGATATGCACGCACACACATACATATAGGCTAGTATCAATGGATCAACAGCGCACTCCGCTCGACCCACCGGACCCTTCCCAACTTTAATCCTTCTCATCACAGCTGCCTTATCTTACGCAAACACTTCGCCGCGATTGCGAAAAGAGCGCATGAATGTATGTAGTATATAGGTATACACTCGCACATAAACACATACTAACAAATGCACGACAAATAGATATAGTCGAGTGCCAGCAGTGGCGGGGTGGGTGAAGTGCGCGCGATGGTGTTGCTGGTTGAATAGGCGAACGGGCAAGCGGACGGACGGAGGGACAGACGGACAGACGTAAACTGCATTTATTGCAACCACACGGGACTGGCTGGTCGACTGGCTGACTGGTTCAGCGTCGACTCCGCCTTACAGCTCCACCTTCTGCCAAAAGCGAAAGCTCTGTTGGCGCTGAAACCCTGCCTTGCTGTGCTTTGTTCTGTCTCCGTTCAATTGAATGATTGCTTTTCTTGTTGTTGCTTTCGTATGTTATTGCATGACTGCGTTTTTGTGTCCGCCTTGCCGTCTTCCTGTTTAGCAGGCGTTCAACGATCCCTAAAAAAACACGGTGACGGTGGCGGCGGCACTTGAGCGCACTTCCCGGATTTTACGCCATACGCGTGGAGCGGTGAATAGCCCGAAATTACGAAATTATGAAATTGAGTAACCACGTAACGCAGACACAGCAATGTTGGTGGCAAACTCGCTGATAGGGGTGACCCCAAACGATAAAAAAAAAACATTACTAAAAAAATAAAAAATAAATCACAACAAAACTAAAAAACCAATGTAGTGAGACGATTGACCGTGCAGTCGGCGCAAATATCTACGTCAGAAACGGACGATAAAGTGTTTGTGTGAATTGCATTCAAATACGAGTTTAAGAAAAAAATAAAATCACTTAACGGCAACAAAAACGAAACTATTTTCAAATGCAAGTAGGTACTACTTCTACGCACACAATTCGCGAAGCACAAACGTAGAGATTTTTGTATAGGTCACAATGATTTTCAGCAAAGGAAAATAAAAAATTACGTCAAGAAAAATTCACTTGCACATAAATAAACAAAAGTCCGCTGTGAAAAATCGAATTTTTCGCACTCGAAAATTCGCCGATCAACTCGGAGTAAAATAACTGACTGACTGCCAACAGACTAGTAGTTGCGGTGACTGCTGCTGCTGTTGCTGAAGCGTGTGATGATGACGCGGACGTCGGACTGGTTTGGCTGGTCTGGTTGTAGTTGTCGCTGTCGTCGTCGGCACTCTTTGTTGTTGTCGACAATGCTAATTGAGACACACACTAGCACGCCCACTCCCCCTTTACAACACCACAGTTGCGCGCTGGCTAGACACACATGACTAGTACACGCTACTACTACCACGATATCAGTGTTGCCACATGTGCGCTTTCCCCCCTTAAAAACTGGTAGGTTATTTTCCATTTGGTGTTGGTAGGCTAGATTGGATTTTGGTAGGTTTCGTGACAATGAAACAGTGTTAAATGCCGTATAATACCCTTTTAAAACTGCATCAAGGCTTGTGGCGTCTGGAACCACCTGGAGCCCACTGTAGCGTAACGCTGAGGGGGGTTCCGGGACATGAATGGTTTGAAGCCAACAAAAGGTCCGACTGTCTCGCAAAGCGTGGAACCGAAATGCGCTTGCATGATCCCGACCAATTCTGCGGTACATCAAAAAAAAAAATACATTGAGGAACTACTTAGGAGCTAAGAAGAATTTCAGATTGCTGCCCACTGGCGGAAGGAAAAGATAATAAGACAGCCAAAGAGATTCATAACTCGCCCAGGAGGAACTGCGAAAGACTCCTTGTACTTGGAACTCTTACTGACTATTTGACAGCACACTGCAAGTTAAGGTACCATTTGAATCAAATGGCGCTTTCTGTAGAGACGGACTGTAGGTTTTGTGGGCTGGAGGAGGAAACCCCAGAGTATATTCTATGTACCTGCTCACGAAAAATGTATCGTAGACTGATACACTTTGGAGAACGATTTTCTTCTCCATATACAAATTTGGAATATGCCACAGCCCAAAGTGCTTAGATTTTTGAATTGCCTAAGGTTGGAGTGATTACAATATTTAGATCTTCTTAGGTCGGATAAATATGTACAGTAAAATCAATTGTTATATGCAGTTAATTTGTTTTTATTTTACTAGCTGTGTCTTGGTTTTACTAAATGTTAAGTTATCTACATTTTTAATAAACTTAACATTGAACAAAAATATTAAAAACTCAAAAAAAAAATGTTTGGTAGATTTTGGTAGGAAAAAATTTGTCTGTGGCAACACTGGCCACGATATGCATTTGTATTCTACGAATCAAAGAATCACCAGTACTGCGATTGTCTGTTTTCATGTCTAGCTTTCAATATACATATGTAAATGCATACATACAAATTATAATACACATGCATATATATTTATTTATAGATTTGTATGTAAATATCTGTCCGCATTCCCACCAATATAATTTGCCTTTGCGTGAATGCGTCTGTGTTGTACAGTGGGGTAAAGTAGCATTAGACTATTTAAATATGCACGACAGCAGGTATAATGATTCCGTGCGTAGAAGTCCACGCAAATAGGGAAAGCTTTGGACTAGATATAATTCCCCAGAGAGTGGCCAGAAGTGATTCTTTTGTGAACGGTTTAATCGCAGCTCACGACGCCCGGATATTTATAACCACGCGTCTTCTGGGCATCGTATTCCTTTGGGAGCGAAATAAACTGAGAAGGCGCAAAATCTCGCGTGCGCTACGCAAAAACCCTTCCCAATGAAAACAAAAACCAAGCCTTGGATGAGACCCCCTTCTTTGGAGCGGGACCACAGCAAATGTTTAAAAGACTATGATTTTAGGGCATGTGCCAGGAATGTTCGGACCCTTAATTGGGAAGGTGCCTTTTCGCGGTTGGTTGATATCTAAGGAAAGACTAAGGCTGACATCATCGCCATCCAAGAAATGTGATGGTCGAGGCAAGAAAAAAGGAATGTGTAGGTAGGGTCTTGCGATGTTTACTACAGCTGTCACGCAATGGAGCGCAAGTTCGGTCGGGCAAGTTGGATTTGTGGTGGGAAAGATACTCCGTCGCTGCGTACTGTCGTTCACTCCGGCGGACGAGCGCCTAGCCACAATCCATATCAAATCGGGGGTTCTTCAACATCTCGCTCATCTACGCCTACGTACCAAGGGAAAAGAATGACGAGGTAGTTAAGAATCTCTTCTATGATCGCCAACATATACGAATGCGGCCCCCATCACGATATGGCAAACGTGCTTGGCCATTTCAATGCCGGGTAGGCAAGGAAAGGATATTTGGTTCCACTGTCGGAAAATTTTGACGGCCAAACGTGCCTTAACCGACTGAGGCTGATCGACTTCGCCGTGGCCCGATCAGTTAAGCTACTTGGCTGTCTCCATATCGAAAAAACGAGAAACCAAATTGATCATGCGGCGTAAAAACCACAAAACTGCTGGAGCCGACAACCTACCAGCAGAGCTAATTAAGTATGGCGTCGAGAAGTTGATAAGCCTATCTAAGCATCGGCCATATTGGCTTTACAAGGATAAAGTCTAAGCTGGCTCGACCCCGTCGTACGAATGGACATTAACGCTTCAGTTCTCAAAGTATATAACGCGAATCACGATACTGGTAACAGAGAAAGATAAAGGACTCCTTTGCGATGGAAAGACCATGTGGAGACGGACTTGGCTTCACTTGACATTTCCACTTGGCGTCATTTGGCAAAGAAGACAAACTGCTGGCGTCCTTTATTGAACTCGGTGGAAGGGAAACTGGGCAGTCTCCAAATAGATTGAGTGACCATGTATCGATTTATGATGAAACAAAGCGAAATCGAGCAATTTTTCAAATGAATGGAAGCTGATGACGAAGTATAGTGTTGAACGTTTGCCTCGATTGGAAGGGAACAGCTCATAGTGATATGCTCAAAACTTGGCTAGTGATTGATTCGACTTTCAACTGTCCGCAACTAATGCGATTAAAGCGGACGATTCAAGGAAGTGGGCAGATTTATTTTCCCAATTCAGTCAAAATAAAACTTTCTGAAATCACTTGGTTGAGCTTTTTGCACCAACGGCTTAGGTCAAGATTTGTTTAAAAACTACCATAAAATATGTCAGAGAGTTGTCATGGGCTTAACACAAAAATTTGGCTATGCCTATAGATTATGTTAAAAAAGCTGTGTTAAAACAGAAATATCGGGAGGAGGCCGCGCTATTTTTACTGTTGAAACATATCGTCGATCCGCCTATCTGACAGCAGTCAAATTTTATTTTCTTTAAAGCCGTTGGCTAATCTTATGACCGAATTTATTTTTTTTTTTGTTATTGGAGAATGCAATTTACTTTTTATTATTTTAATAGTCTTTATTTTTCTTATAGAAAGCTAGCTTTAAAAATATTATTTTAACCTCTAACTTATTTTTACCTGCATAAGCACATTTGGAAAAAAACTAAACTTTATTTATTCACTTTTATTATCAAAAATCATTAATTTTACAACCATAAATCTAAAAAATTAAGATTTATAAGGTAAAAAAAGAGTGGTAATCTGGAGGAGTTACTTGTTCAAATTTTAACATGGAAAATGTTACTCATACGCCATGTACGATGTGGCGTATGAGTAACGTTATTCTCTGGCCGTATTTCATACAAACAAATTATTGTAGAACTTTTTCTTGGCAAAAGAACAGGCTTTAATACAAATTAAACAAGTAAGAAAGTCTAAGTTCGGGCGGAGCCGAACATTAAATACCCGGCGCAATTATTAAATATATGTTTTCCACCTATCCGAAAACTACCGCTACACGATAAGCCGGGGTGTATAAATTTTAAGTAAATTAGCGTCCTTAAAGTTTCAAGCATTACTGAAATATACCGTTATATGAAAAGCGGTCGTAATTTAGTCCGATTTCAATAATTTTCAGCGCTTTGCTTTTATGTGGCAAGCACAATAACCATACCGAGTTTGGTTCAAATTGCTAGAACGGTTAGCGAGATACATATATGTGATCATAAGTGGGCGGTGCCACGCCCATTTTC